TGTAACTCCCTTTATGAATTCCAGTTTCCTTTTCCTGACACTACTTCTCCAATCAAATCCAAAGCTCCCTGTTTTAGTTTTAAAGTTTCAGGTTCTCAGAAGACTGAATTACACGTGTTCTGGTTCAAATTTCCAACAATTGAGAAAAGCAAATTCTTGAAGTGACTCACAGAACTCACAACATGACCCCAAAATGTAGGAAAAAGAATGCTAGTTTTATACCCACATGTTTGTAGCCATGCCTTGTCCTCTAGTTCCCTATGAATGGCAGAAGCTACATGGGATTACCTGTATATGCCATTTTGCCTGTGAATCATGGTACACAAAAACACCCATGGTATCACATTTGGAAGAACACAACTGCTGCATTTGTGCAACCCCATTGTGCAAAGCCTTTTGAAATTGATATGCAGGCTAAAGCAGCAAGAAACAAGAATAGCAAAAATATTAGCATCTTTCCCCAACCTAGTATCCTCCAGGTCTGTCAGCCTAAAATCTCCAGTATCTCTAGCCATCATGACCCATGTCAGCAGGAAATGACAATAGTTCTAGTATAACATGCCTGGAGAGCACAAAATGGAGGAAAGAAGGCTGAATAGCCATCTCAGGTTGCTGCCACACTGCAGATTTGATGCAGTTTGACACTGCTTTAACTGTCATGGTTCCATCCTATGGAATCCTGGGATTTGTACTCTATTGTGGCACCAGAGCTCTGTGACAGAGAAGACTAAATATTTCACAAAACTACAAATCCCAGAATTTCACAGCAATGAGCCGGTGTCAAACTGCGTTAATTCTGCAGTGTTGCAGCAGCAACCTCAGCTACTTTGTTAGAACATGAATTATCCTTGCACCATCACTCCTTACTCCTTCATATGCTTAATTCATTCAAATCAGTGGGACTTAAAAGTGTTCAAGTTGTACCCAGTAGCTGTACTACCTATTTAGGACAAAGAAGAGATTGGCAATATTCTTCATGCCAAATTGATGTACAAATACCAAAATGCTACTTACCCATCAACCCAAAGAGGAAGAATATGTTTTTTAATTAGATCCAAGATTGCTTCAAGCCATACCCAAAATGTAAATGATTTACCAGGCAAGTGCTCCTGTTTATAAAGCAAATTAAATATACAGTGGAAAGGGAATTACTAATGTTTTAAAGAAATTAGCAATTTATTTGTTTAGTTTGTCTTATTTGGTCTGAATAGGAACAATATACAGCAATATATAAACATTCTGATGCATAAATATAAATGTGTATGATGTGCTTTAGCAGGTCCAAAGCATATATAACCCATCTCTTGGGACTTTAGCACAAGAGGCAATAAATCACAATTGGAGCAGGATAATGTATTTTTGGCTGGGGCTTCTCACATGACGTCAGCCCAGTGAGATACTATTTGGAAAATATTTCTTTTCATTAATTACCTCCTTACCCACTACTGTTGTGCTACCATTTGCAGTGCAATAATTCAGTTCCACTTTAATGCTGCTTTTGGGTGGTCAATGGGTGGGCTTTAGGTGTGGCTTAGGTGCCCTTTGCTTATCAGCAATCAGTAGAGAAGGAGACGGGAAGAAGGAGTGGACATTTCCATCTGATTGATAAAGTAACTAAGAAACCTCCATTGACAAATGACTGCACCCCCTTATTGGTACATGTCAGAGAAACTGAGAAGGGAAAACTTTGCTCACTGCCCTCCACCTTGGTTCTTTTTGCAGCTGAGTAGCCCAGTTCTGGAGTCTCTGTCTTGCTCTTGCTCTCTCTCTCTCTCTCTCACACACACACACTCACACATGCCTGGAAATGCATGTAGGCAGTTTAAAATGTATTTATTTTATTACCCCTGTTCTGCCCCTGCCCCCAGGAAAAAGGGCCTTTTAAAAAGCATAACATTTTGAAAAGTACACTGTTTTAGCAGGAGAACAGCCTTGTGTGATAAAGTTCTTAGTTGTCCATTTTCTAGAGCAGATATGGTGGAATGTGGAATCAGATGATTTCAACTAACCATCAAAAATGTTGTAAATTGTGTAATCAGTAATAAGCAATACAGAGATTTTCCCAAAACATGCTCATGTCATCTTGTGAATATGTATTCCCTTCCCACACATAAGCAGTTCCAGCATATTTTCAAAGAAAACATAATTAACTGTGATTAGCCCTTGGCAAAAGATCCTAGTAACTCTCTTAATTACTTTTCTTTTAAAAAAAACTTTTTAAAAATATGCTTTAAGTGCTGTAAGCTCCATCCTATGGAATCCTGGGATTTGTAGTTTTGCAAGGCTTTTAGCATTCTCTGTCAAAGAGTGCTGGTGCTTCACAAAACAACAAATCCTAGGAGTCTGTAGAGTGGAGCCATGGCAATTAAAGTGGTGTCAAACTGCACTATTTCAGCAGTGTAGATGCATCCTGTGTCTACCAGTAAAGAAGCTCTGCCAGTGTAGCAAGGCTGCCCCCCCCCTCCAGTCTATAGAATTTATCACATGGGAGGCTAAGTGGTTAAATCCCATGCAGAAATGGGATTTAAATCCTGGAAAAATCCCAGAAAAGCAGGATCATTTTCTGGCGCATCAGTGGCATTGAGCATTAATGTGACCTTAACCTGCACAGAAAGTGGACAAAATTGGTTGCTTTTTACTTTTGGGATTTTCCTGAAAGGAAAAAGTGGCCGATTTTGTCTACTTTCTGTGCGGATTAATGTCACATTAATGCTCAATGCCCTCAATGTTGTCTGAAAACGATCCTGCTTTTCCAGGATTTTTCCAGATTTTGTCCACTCTCTGTGTGGATGTTGTCTGAAAACGGTCCTGCTCTTGCGGGATTTCCTCAGATTTAAATCCCATTTCTATATGGGATTTGGCTGTGTGATAAACTCCTAAGTCCACTGATTTTACTTGCATTTGCTCTAGCAAAGATACATGTGGAAGTTGCATGCAAAGATTGAACAGGCTTAGGGAATAGACTTATTATAAGAAACAGTCAATAATGCAACAGGACTAGACCCATGCTGAAACACAAATAAGGAGTCAAGCACTGTTTTGTAATATATTGATGCAACATACCTTACTGAATTTTGACCAGGAAACTTGATGATCAGTATAGATAACCTGTTGTCCTAGAAAATTAAGAGAAAATAAATGGGAAGCCAACATCCTTACAAAATCTTTAGTTGTTTTAAGAAAAACTCTGCAAGGACAGATTATTTAAAACTGTGTTTTCCAACTTTTTCTATGCCCCGCATGCCTAGGAAATGTTTGATTAATGTTCACATCCACTACAAAAGTAGTATCGTATTTGAAGATGAAGAATTCTAATGTCTAATTTTTGAACCACAAATTGAACCACATACAATACTGTGGGTGAACAAATTGAACTTAAAAAAATGAACTTTTAACTCAGTGCATAAAATACAAATAGAAATTGAGCAATTAGATTCTAATTTATTGAGAAAAAATGTAAACAATAAAATCAATCCCATTTGTGAACATAACATTCAATGACTTCTTTGCTCCTGCTTCTCATTCATGATTTTGTCAAAACATGGAACTTTCTTGCTGACTGTAATCCGCAGGTCTGCCTGTGATTTCAGGCAATTCCAAGATTTTGTCTTAACTGAAAAAACAACAACAACAACAACCCTGAATCCAGATTCACACAAGTATCTTTATAGTACCCCCTGAAATTCCATCTCACACTTCCTGGGGGTGAAAGCATCCCAGTTGGGAACCCCTGATTTAAAAAGACAAGCATAGTCTAGTTTACTGAACATTTCACATTGCTGAAATAAAGGACTTTCGTACTGCTGCCATTTAGGGAAGGGAATCTGAAAGATCTGAAATGATGAGTGTTTTACACTAGATTCACTCATATAATTGATTTTTTAAAATAATAATTAGAAGCAAAGTATTTTTGGCTTGCAGTTCAAAAGGTGAGAAGAGGTATTTGTATTTTCATAGTTCCTACCTGTAAGTTTTTCTGCCAGCATACCAAGTTGGTCAGAATTGAGTCCACGGCCAATATATGATGAAAACTGCCAGCTCAGTATCTCCAAGAGCTGACCCAAGCCAACAGAGGGGGGGTTGTTGAAGAAGGCCAAGTTCTGCAGTCAAATAAAGAGTAACAGAGAAGTTTGTGAGTTACTTGTGTTATTGTTATATAGCGTTGTGAGTGATCTTGGAGGTTCCAAAAGGCCAAAGGCTTTGTAAAAATTTCAAAGGCTTTCCCCCTTTTCAACTGCTGTAGGAAGCCTTTAATTTACTGCTTCTGCTATCGCTGCTGCTCTCTGTGCTACTGCACCATCGTAAATCTGTAGTTTGGCCAATATCTATATATATCTATATATATCTATATATATCTATATAGATATAGATATAGATATATAAATAAATAAAAAATTTAATGCTTTACAAAAATTGTAGAATTTGCCCTTCTGGGATTTGTTTCAAGAGACAATGAAAGGATATCTCATAAACACTAAATTGATTGCTTATTAGTAACTACAGTCTCCTCTCAGTATCCATGGATTAGTTATCACGGATTCAACTATCCACTGCTTTAAAATATTTTAATAAATAAAAATTCCAAAAGGCAAACCTTGATTTTGCCATTTTATATAAGGGGCAACATTTTACTATGCCTTTGTACTTAGTGAAAACTTGAGAATCCATGGATTCTGGTATCCATGGGGGGTTCTATAACTAAACCCCAGTGGATACTAAGGACTATACTGTACCGTACTGTACTGTGTTTTATTTTTGCTTACTAATCTCTGTTTTTGAGATAAATTGAATTAAGTTTGATGACCATGCATTCTTGCTGTATTGTGCATATGCTGTATATTTATTGTTGTGTGCCTCCAAGTCATTTCTGCCTTATGGCAAACCTAAGTTGAGGCTATCATGAACTTTTCTTGGCAAGATTTATTCAGAGGGGGGTTGCCTTTGCCTTCATCTGAGGCTGAGAGTTCATGACTTGCCCAAGGTCACCCAGTGGGTTTCCATGGCTGAGCAAGGATTTGAACCCTGATCTCCAGAGCTGTAGTCCAATGCACAAACCACTGCACCACATTGGCTCCTATGCCGTATATATCCATATCTACGTGGGGGTAATATGTGCCTTTTCTGACCATATTATGTGAATATATACTATCCAGAATAACCCAGAAACAATTATATATCTCTTTCTGTCTCACTGCCCCCCCCCCATGAGCATTCTTACATATTATGGAGAGTATAGCAGGGATATGCAATGTACAGTCGGCCCTGTGTATCCATTGGGGTTCCATTCTGCATCCCGCTGCAGTTGACAAAAATGCAGGACCACATCCCATTATTTTAAACTGTGCCATGCTGTGTGTGGGGCTACATTTGCATGGCCATGTGCACGTGCCACCATTGAACAGGGAACAGGGTGGGGCCATTTGTGGATGCTCCAATCTGTGGATGGCAAGCCTATGGTTGAGTCATATCCTCTTAATTTTACAATGTGTACACATGCATGCACACTTTTAATTCAAGGATATTCCTGCCAGTGATAGGAATGGGGGAGAAAGAAACTCATTTGGTTCACATTTCAATGTGAAACTATCTAGGGGCCTCTGCAGACCAGCCCAAAAGGCCAGCCTGGGGGTAGAGTTGGGGTGGGGCAGCTGCACACCGGCCGCCCCAACACCATCCTGACGCCACATGCCATTACGCATGGTGCATGGCATCAGGGCACCCTCCCCGCGCTGCGTTTAAACACGCTGCGCCAAAAGGACAAGGAAGAGCTGTGGCGCTGGCTCTTAAGACGGCCTTTTGTTGCCCCTAAAAGGAGTGGCATTTTGCTGCTCTTTTCAGGGCAGCAAAAGGGAGGATTGGGGTCGCTGCATGGGGTTGCCACAGCCCTGATCTGCCGCTTCCCGGGGTGGCCCAGAGCCACCCATCTGCACAGGCCCTAAGTGACATTTCTCAAATGGTGTGCGTACTGAAATGCAGCCAACTATTAACATTCACACATTTCTGAATTTTTGATAGTTCTCAAACTATAAAATATGTCTATCACACATTATATTAGAAAACAGTGCACACAATTATGAAAAATTGCATGCAAATATATGTACATTAAATGCATACACATAAGTATAAAATCATGCTTGCCTCCAGGGAAGACTATGTACAAAAATGAATATACTGAAAGAAATGTGTACTCGAATACAAATCCACAGATTCCATGGAATTCCTGTCATACACCTGAAAAGCTACTTTGTAGGGTAAGGGGACCTTCAGAACAGCATGGAAAGAAGCACTGAGGGATACAAGACAAAAGAAGAATCAGCAGAAATTGTAATGCCAGTAACCTATGGAGGGACTCTATTACACTTAAGAAGAGTTGCAATCAATATCTGTATTTTCTGACCAAACGCCAACATCCCTGGAAAGCTGTTCTGCTGGGTTTTATACCTAATGAATGAAAAATAAGGAAAGTTTGCTACACAAAACATACCTGAGATTCATTAGTTGACAGGTTGTACCAGATAACAGAAGCCCAAGCATTGGGCAATTGGCTGACATTAGAAATCATCACAACTGGTAAAGAACTCGTCTGATGAAAAAGATATATAACTGACATTAGTATTAATGGAGTAAAGATAAAAGAGTAACTGTATGGTGGGTGGGCTACAGTTTTAAAAGCAATACATTAAAGGTACTTTGATAATGTCAGGAAAATGCTGGAAGTAAAATGTAGGACTGTAATGCTAACAGATTTCCTACCCCCCACCCTCAGATAACCAATATTCCTAGAGCTCAGATTTTACTGCTGTATTCTACATAGAGGGCTATTTGTGCTAACTCACTTCCCAAGCAAATTCTGCATTCAAAATAATTGATTACCATTTAAGTGTATAAATATGTATACTTACATTTCAGCTAGATATTTGAGATGTTATATTTGTGGGTAAGAAAGAGAAATATGGGTTAACTAATAAGTGGTAAGGCAGGTGTGGGCAAAAAATTATACCCTGTGACTTGCACGACCCACCTAAGAAATTCACAACCGTTCATTCATTCATTTATTATTAAAAATGCCTTCCATGTTCACAAAGAGTTAGAGGTTCACTCCCTCCAATTATAGGTTCAAAATATGACTGGACAGGCTGCTGAATCTGTCCTCAACAGTAATCATGAGACAGCATCCTCCACTACACCTGAAGGCATCAGGTAGAACACAGGGCACACGGCTCACATTTTAAAAACTTTTTTTAAATCACTAGTTGACCAACAAAACAATTCTTGTAGTTTTGCAATCCCTACCTTAATGCTGACTGTGCTGTTGTGAGGACTTTTCTAGCATTAAAGTTACATTTAGGGCATTAGGGAATTTTAGGTTTAGATCCTTCACCATTTGTTCCAATACAACCCATACATTGTTAGAGTGGTACTGGGAATTAGCTGGTGGTATATTGATATTTATAAGGATTAGGGTTGAGCCTGAAATTTTCACTCTGCTACAATACAATTTCTGAGGACTTACAATATCTGAAACCAGATCCCCAACCCAACTCAGATTTTTCTTTAGCAAAATTGCATTTTACATGCAGATTCAGACCAAATTTTATCACCAGGGAGCATGTTAGTATCACTTGTAAGCCACTTTATTGAAGGGCAATGATATCAAAGTTGAATAAGAATTTTGTCAAGTTTTCACCTTGCTGGCAGGACCTCCAGCCAACAGTATTTCAAGATAGAAGCTTAACTGGGCCACAGAGCTGGAGATAATGTGGGTTGTAACAATAGCATCAGTAGGGCTGGTGCCACCCCAACATGGTAACTCATGCTGTCAACTCCAGGCTGCCTGGCACCCCCTCTCCCAGCCAGGCCATCAGTCCTGTGGAAGAGAAAGGCTCCAGTCTATTTACTGCTGATGGCTGATGGATGGGAGCACCTGAAGGGACTGTCTGTTCTAGTTTGTCCCAGTTTATCTGCCTTGTTTGCAAGGCCTGAAAGAGTCCAGGCATCATTTGACAATGGGAGAGGAATTTGCCGTGGCATGCCTACAACTTCCTGGCCAACCTGGGACCTTCAATCTCTTGGGAGTTCCAGTCTACCTGCAGAGAGGTGTGGCGGTACACACCACACCAGAAGGCAGACATCCGCCTCTGAGATGTCACCAGTGCATTCCACACCCTCCGCACTCCTTAGAAATGCCCCTAGAATGTAAGAATGTGCTTGTTGCAGCAGATCAACTAGTGATAAATCCTCTCACTGAATTCCCAAAAGGACACTATTTTATCCCATCCTGCCTTTCAGTGTGCTCAAGATAAGGACTTTCTTTCACATCTATATAGATCAATTTATCCTTGCCTGAGCTTAATATATTCACATTTGTTCTTATAGAGTCAACAATATCCACCACAGGATACACCTGTACATTAAGAGGAACAGAATAGTATAGCTTCCTATCATTTAAATATCTCTCAAATTGCCAGTTTGAACTACTCAGATCCACATGCTTTTGATGTTTTAGCCCAGATTTGTTACTTTTAGTTAAATGCAAACTGTCATTTTCTGCAATTTCCCTCATTAATATACTACCTGTATGTCCTCCCCCTGACTGCTAGTTCCATGTATCTCACTTAGCCTGGGACTCTTCTTTTCTGATTTTCTATTAACATCATGAAACTGTATTTTCTTCAAGTAATTGCCCAAAAGGGCTAGCCTTCCCAGAATCTCCAACTGTGCTTTACTTGGTAAAGTCTGAAAGGAACTGAGGAGGGCAATTCATGGTATACACCTGTGCTTAGGAGGATGAAGCAGTTTGGACTAAGACTAGAGCACAGGTGGCAAAAGACTTGGCTCTTATCTGACAGAACTTGCCATAGGAACTTTCTTCGTTCCTATCGGGAGGTAATGCATGCAGTGAAGAGAGTTTTCTCCTCTGCACGTATTGTATCTGTAGAGTCCCATCCAGCAGAGCTGTTTAGGGTGGTGAGGGAGATG